ACTTCTTAGTCGAATCATATCAGATGAAAACACCTCTGGTTTGCGAAATAATTGTAAAGTCTGGTTTTATTGATACAGGTTGCTCAAGGGAGCATTTAAAAATTTTAATCATGGACGCATAAAATGGGTACACCAATTTTTGTGTGAAAACTTTTTATTCGACAACAAAGAATGAGAAAAAGTGCTTTTTGGGATTCAATCGAAAGTATTAGCAGGAACGAAAAAACTCTTCAAATAAGATTTTTAGCTATTTATGAGACCCACAGAATGAGACGTAAAAAGACCCGACTAATTGTAAAAAAGTTATGGCCGAAAACCGAGGCAAGATGCAGGTTTTAGCACTTGTTGGTAATGCCACGATAGTTTCACGCAGATACTTGAAATTCCTCATATTAATAGGCTTCAGACTTCTAAACAACGACAGCAAAATTGGAGTCGATTGGTCAAGTAGTTTTTGAGAATCTCTAATGGTTTGTCCTCTTCGTTTTTCGCATCAATATAACAATTATCTTTCGTTTAGCCGATGTCGTTGTGATGTCCATGTTCAAAAGAGGAAGCGGATATCTGGTAGGACAGGAAAAGGAAGAAAAAATTGATTGTAGGGTAAACGTCGCTCGTCTATACCGATGTATACATACAACAATACTACATCGGTTCAGCAGACTCGCACTTTACTCATGAAACACCTAAAATATCTCTTGTACAGGACCGTATTTCTAAATCTTTTAGAATTAAACATTTCTTTGGTTGCTTTCAACTGAGTGTAAGGCAAAATTAATATTGAGGTTTTATTCCCGTGCAGCTTGAAAGAGTTCATGCCGCACGATGCGATGCTTTTTATTCTTATGCCATATTTATTTTCACCGTTAAAAAGATAGTTGCAGGCAACTAAATGCAGGAATGTGTTGGGATCTTGGCCTGTACAGTCAAATACAAAATAAAAAAGGGAAACAAAAAAGAAGTATAATAAGCAGCATTCATTTTGGTGGAAATATCTTTTGTACAAGTGGCACAAATACTCACTATGAGGCATATGGCCAGGGAAAACCGTCTCCGTGACTCAAGTTAACTGCATACCGACTGTAGAGTCAAATCAAAGCTCAGTCTTTTCGGAACCCAGACGTACAACATCTGTATTGCACGGGTAAGATCCTAGAGGTGATGCGATCGATTATAAATATCGCTTTATCCACTATATTGCACTCTCATTGAAGTTCTACCACAATTTTTGCGATTTTTATCTAATACGGATTCATGATTGGAATTATTGTCATGGGAGAGGTTGTCTGTTCTGACCAACGAATTCAAACTGGGTAGAAGGATCAAGCCTACGATTTGTTTATTTCCAAAATCTCAATTTGTAGTAAGGATGGAAGTGCATACTACAAGGAAACTTGACAGAAATTAGAAGTTCTGTTATTAAATTCGTATTTTTAGTCTTAATTTTTCTTTTCCTTACACCAAATAGTCGAAAGGATCCGAACAATATAATATATATTCTTGAAAGTGCGAGTGTTTGCAGATAATTGTGGTGTTAGCCGATTTTAGGACATGATACTTCTGGCATAATTTGCAAAGAGCGGAACAATCCTAGTGAAAGTAAATCTTTCTACCGGCAAGTATTATTAGTATTACGTTTAATAACTTTGGATTTAGAAGGATTCATAATTTTCAATAGAATTTAGATCCTCTATTATATTTGCTTTCGAAATTTCTAAATGTTCATGATTGAAGCTATGATATAATTGTGAGTCGTCAGCAAAAAACTAAATCCTACAAAACTTCACAACCCTGTTTATATTGGCTCCAGCCAAACTTCTATCAGCGCAAATTAATAAATTAAAAACATAACCTAGATAACTCCAGCAGTGACCTAACATCGACTGTGGAGTCTGGGCAGCCGGGCCTTTTTGAAACCTGTCAAGGGTGACACTGCCATCTTAGTAGAACTGCAAAGAAAGGATACTGTCCTTCTGAGGAGGGGTGATCTGATCACCCCTAAATATCGCTTCAACCGCAGGTTTTATATGGAGTATCCAACGAGGGCGGGGTGGGATTCCGGAAGCCAGAAGGTCTCCCAAGGGAGTGGGCAAGTCTAGTACACGGACGTCCTGGTCACTGAAGAAGCCTCTGGTGCTGGAGTCGTTGGGCCTAGATTTAGGTTATCTCTGAGTCTCGGTGGATACACCACACTTTTCAAGCGGAAATCTTTGCATGCTGCATTGCAATGCCGAGAGGCTCTGAATAGTCTAGCAGCGAAGCATTTGGTATCGTTAATGTGGATACCGGCAGGGGTAATATGAAAAAAATCTAAAAAACATCAAAAAAAAAACGACGAAATGTCATCTTGCAGACTAGGTAGTTTGTAATATGCAAATAGTTCATTCCACGTTTCCTCGCTATTTTCGTAGCACGTACAGCTAAAAAACAAGTTCTCAACAAGTGTATTGCAGGACCAACTCTCAGAAATGGAGAAGCATCTCGAGACATCGCCGTCAAGCAAGGGAGCTCATCCTAGGGCCCAGAGCTAAGGACGGGCGCTTTTGCTCATGTTTGGTTAGAACCAACCTAAGGTCGCTAGTGAGACTGCATGTGATGAGGGTTGCTGAGCAGGATCCCTTGTGTGAGCGCTGCGGGGTAGAGGAAGAGACCTCAGTGCACGTTCTTTGTTGCTGTGAGGCTCTAAGCTACTACAGGCAGACTATACTGGGGTCCATCACTTTGGATCCAAAGAACATTAAGGAGCTGGGACTCAATGCTATACTCAACTTTGCTAGAAGGGCGGGGCTTGAGGTTCAGGGAATGGATGGGAGCAGTAGGGGCAGCCTAAGTGACCTACGAGTCGGCTCCTGACGATGGCCGGTATGCTTCTAATTTCATAATTTATTCATTCAATGTGCGGCAGCCCTAAATGAGTAGTGAGTGAACATTATCGCGTAGTCTTGGCTAGAGGTGTCAGTGGACTATTTTTGACATCGGCGTATCTGAAGAGCTTAATTCACATATGGCCTAACTACCGCCACCGATTGCCTAATATGCTGCAGCTCTAAGTGAAGATATCATTGGAAAATAACATGTACGTACGAGACGTCTCAATGTTAGTCTAGAGTGCCTATTTCATTATTTACGGCCTAAGTAACACCACCACATGCTTAACGTGCAACAGTTCAGAGTAAAAACATCGCTACTGAACAGCATACATAAGTTCGTGAGCAGTCTTAGCGAGAGGTCTTGGTGTGACCCTGAAGAACCTAATTCAGATGTGCGGCGAATGATTTGGGCAAAGGGTATACGCGTAAGTCTGTGTCCTGTAGTATCTAACCCATTATGTGCAACGTAAGGGCTGTATCGTCAGTCCTTCCTACAACTGTAGGACACCTTATGGCCTCCTTAATTTTCATAGGTTTTCCTGTGCTTCACTGTTTCGTGTAAGCGCTCTATTTTGAGGTTATAATGTCTTTTTGAATTCGAAGATATATCAGGCTGATAAAACTTGATTTTTATCATCTGTTTTATGATCCTGAAATTTCTTAATATTTAAAAAAGTAATATAACATCTCAATGGGAATAGTAGAAATCTAGAAATACCGCAGCCTTTCTGAAGGAGAGAAAATACTATGAAACTCAAGGAGGCCATAAAGGCGTCCTTCAATATTTGTAAGAACGACTGACGATACGGCCCGAAGTATACACCGGATAATATCTTGAATGAATGTGGTGAACAGGCTTACGAATAGTTGGAGAGAGGTGTTGGTGTGAAACTGGGTAATCTAATTGGTAATGTGCGGTCCAAGTAATGTCAATTGAGACCTAATGTGCGACAGCTCTAAGTGAGAATCAAATGAGGAACAGGTTTGTGATTAGTTGGCGAGAGGCGTTTGTGAAAGTTTGGTGAACCTAATTCGTGATATGTGGTCTAAGTAACGTCACGAGTGACGTAATGTGCAGCAGATTTACGTGAATGAACAGGTTTGCAAAAAGCCTAGCAAGAGGTGTTTCCGTGAATCTGCCTAATGTAAGGCAGCTTCAAATGATGGTATGGTGAATATTACAGGTTTGCGAACAGCCTTAGCGAAATGTGTCTGCCTTTGTAACATCACGACCTAAGACAGCTTCAACTGAGGATATCGTGAGTGAACACCAGAGGTGCATTCGTGAACAGTCTTCTCTAGAAGTGTTACCGTGAGTGTAAAGGCCGTAATTCATAATGTGTGACCCTAGTAATGCCACCTGTGGCCTAATATGCAAGAGCTCTAAGTGAGGATATTGTAAGTTAACAGCGCAAGTATCTTACTTATAATGTGTAGCCTAAGAAAGGATATCTGCATGTACGTTGTAGTACTTATTGGCTAGAGATATCGCTGTGGGTCGAGCGGGCCCAGGTAACCGCACCGATTCGGTGATCTAATCTGCGGCAGTTCTATGTAAGAACATCATGAGAAACCAATTCGCCAACAGTCCCGGCTGTCTTGAAGTTTGAAGTGGGCATATGGTGAATGAGTAGCCTCACGAGCATTCTTGACTTGATCTGGGTTGCCTAATTTATAACACACAACTAAAGTAAGGCCACCAACTGCCTACTGTGCGGCAGCTCTATCTGAGTATTTAGTGAGGGAACAGGTACGCGAATAGTCTTTTCAGAGATGAATCTGGGAGATCTCACTCATGGTAATGTGAATCTATAGCTGAAGGCGTGTCAGGTCACTACGAAATCGGGAGCTCTACTTTGCAATTACGGAAGATTGATGTGGGGGGTAGGGTTGAGTACTTAGATTGCATTTTTTTTATTTTTGGAAATTTATCAAGATGGGCCTACCTGGGCACGAGCCCTGCGCGCCCTTAAGGTCAACATGGAATAGATCGGAAGGCTTATGGCAAAATGTGCGGCCTCTGTCCAGTCCATCTCTGTGCAATCGGTAATGATCGTGGAGCGTCGGTGAGGCGTGCGCCGATCGCGCACGTCTGCGCTGTGCGCATCGACGGCGCAAGGCCCGGCCGGACGTCAGCGCTGCACGTTCGCTGGCCTGCCTGTTCTGCCTCTTCGCGATCCATGCTGCTGCTTGCTGGCAAACCCAGTCACAACCTAGTCTCGGCGGGAACATCTGAAGTCGCAGACGGTCGTGCGCCGAATGCACGCGATATCGTTCCGCTGCAGTTGCAATTGCTGGTGGTGTGTCGCGGTGGCGTGAGTGACATACTGTGACGACAGTGACGTTTCGGAAGGTGTGTGTGGCTCACGTGCCCAACTGCACTTCACTTACTAAACCTGATGAGGATAAGCCATCCAGTGTAGTTAGTTGTTCGGTGCATTTTTAGGTTAGTTTACACTTCCGATAGCGCTATTGCTGTCAAAGGAGGAGATGGCTCTGTGTATGTTATGAAGCTTATCAATGACTGGTTAACTGACCTATACCTTATGTCGAACAAGTTGAGTGTTATCAAACTTTTATTGCTTCAAGTTTATACAGAACTGCTTGTTATCAGAAGCGGATACTAAATCAAGTGATGGTTGGAAAGGATAGCTAATCTAACAGAACAGAATGTTTTATTAACGAAATTAATCGAGATAGCCACTGACAACATACCGGTGGTACGAAAATACTTGGGATGCATATCTATATGCTTCCACTGTTCAATGCTTACGAAACTCGTGGCAGATTTTCAGGATCGTGTCAGCACAATAAGTAGTACAAGAAAATCCCCTAGTCTAGTAAGTAATGAATAGATACCTACTTGAAAATGAGAAACTGATATGGGTAAATCCAATCATTGATGCACTTTGTAGGTTGAATGAACATAGCCCTCTCGCTTAAAAATTCAGAATCTCATCAGTTCCAAATTGTCTATACATAATTGAAGAATTGATATTGGTGAATCTGATTATAGACTAAGAATGCCATATTTTGATGTTTGGCCAAACAAAGTACTCAAAAGTATGGAATCAACTCACTGAAGAACTGTAGAATTAACCTGCTATGGTAATTTCAATTATTAACATTAAAGTTATGTCTCACTAACACCTAGATTTAGCTTAACTCAATGCAACTTATTCAATTTCCGAGAGATGAGGAGTTTCTACCAGTAAATCAAATGTAGCTAATGGTGAGGTTATTCGTAAACATTACCCCCAAAGGCATTAATATAGTAATTTTTGATAGGCACATAGTAAGGGCAGACCGACGAATCCCGCGAAGTACTATTAATGCCATGGGACATGCTTTTTTGTCCACCACTCTTATATAGCAGTAGTGAACACTAGTCCAATTATCCCGAAAACATGAGAATCTAGTGCTAAAAGCAACATGACGGTGTTACCTCAGGTCCGACCAAGAAGGCGAAGTTTAGGGTATATTGTATAATTATCGAAGGCGGCCAAAAATGTGAGCGATTGGACCAAAGTCACAATTTTACGATTACTTTAAATGACAATGCCACAGAACGAAGCAACTTGTTGAAATAGTATCCAACGTTTTATAAAGAACATGGCACCCTAAAGAAAGACATACTTGACAAGGATACGATGGAAGATCTCCGAGATTGAATTACATAATTTCTAGGTAGTTATCTAGAAACTGCCCACTAAGAACGTTTCTTCTCAATATAAGAAGAATTTGTACAGTACCTTGTATGACTCTTCCAGACGTATGATTTGCCTGTTTATTCCATATAGATCTGTTATCTGTTGCCCTTACTACAATCTTGTATTCAACGAATGGTCTAAAAAGTCGCACACCTTGCTCAATAGAGGCAACGCCTAGAACGAGATCTATGAAAATGCGTACCCTTACCATCTACCCTCTCGATTCGATATTACACGTGGCCCTTGTTGCCTGTGCTACCGGATAGCTGACTGAAAAGCTTATCCATCCAGCCTACCATCTGTAGTGAATGAGTTGATTGATCAGTCCGTGCAAGATATACATACAATCAGGGGCGGATCTAAGGTGACGCACACGGCACATTGTGCGTCGGTCCCCGGAACTCAAAGGGTTCCCAGGACGCGGTTAATGGGATTCCAAAGTAGATAAAATTTGTGCTTCCAAAAGTAGGATTCCAATTCTTCATTCGCTCTTCAACTTTTTAACTATACGAATTTTGTGATTACTTCCCTAGGCGTTCTTAATCCGCTACTGCACACAATGACCAGAATTCTGTATTATTGTTGAGAATCAACCTCCATATAAACCCAGTCCAGTTCTCCTGCTAGCTCAAGTTAAGTTCCTTAGGCAAATCGGTAGACAAGATCTGTGATAAGAAAGGAGTTTTCTATTTATTGTTCGATTACGTATGCTAAGATTTCTTGGCAATAGAATTCCTGTTAGAGATATAATATTTGTGTTGAACAGAAAATCCAACCGAGCTATTGACATTCGTTTTGTGCCCGAGTGGACATATTGTTGAGCTTTCTTACCATCCGAATTTCTTCGCCTGTTCCCACTCTAGTTGGTATTTTCACCATTCCAGATTTTCTTTCGAATCGAATCTCTTATGGGCTGCTTTATGACTGGTCTATCCTCTTTATACTGCAACAAACCTTTTATTCTGATAGCCTACCTATTCCCCACGTATACATACATGGTGTTAACTATACGGTTTTGGAATAAGATCTAAACCTTACTAAATAGGAATTGTGTATTTAGTACTATTACTACACACTCTATTTTCCTCGTCTGTCAGACATTCACGTAAGATTAACAGAAAGTATATATCGTTCAACGACTAGAATGATGAATAATAAATAATATAGGAACAGTCTATTTTATTTACTATTACTATTATACTGCAGCACATATTCTTCATGTCTTTGAAGTTTTAGATGTATTTTCTCCAGACTCTGTGATAAAAAGCAAGCATATAGCCTCGAGCAACATAGGGTCATCTGTCTCTTTTTAAAGGATAATTTTGGTATGCATCATTGTTGGTAAGCATTAGGTAAACTATCAGTATTTCTATATTTGTATGGATGAAACTTGAATGTTGTTCAAAATTACCGTTGCAAGCAGTAGCGGATCCACGGGGAGGGAGGGGGGTAGTGGATTCGCCCCTGGCTGCAACTACAGGTTTGAAAGACTGTTTTTTAGTCCATAGAAATTCAAGTGAGATCATCGCTCAATTTGTCACATAAATGAGAACTCACATGATACAACATGCTATTGATCTGTCACCTGTTATCGCTGATCAAATTCCGTTTGTCAATAGAACACCGAATGCGCTCATTATCAATGAAATTGGTAAATTGGTTATGGATAATGCCGCCTTCAAGTCAACAACATCTGGAAACCATGGGACGATTTTTAATTAGGATATAACTAAAACGTATTTTTAACAGTGCTAAGCGAAGGTGACTCCTGGGTTAGGTATATGGACATCATTTTGCTGAACATAATCATATACTGTCGTAAGGACCACTTACAAGTACTTAAGAAAACGCACGAACTTTAAATTTGACCCTGGGGATGTCGAAGATGAATCGAACATACATATGTTGAAGAAACTGGTTTGATTCCTGATGTGACATTAAACTGAAATTTACATGAAACTTTATAATAATTCATTACGCTTTCCTGTTTTTTATAAAAAGTTACATATTTTCCCATAAAAGAAATACCGCTTTCTCGTTTTTATAAAAAGTTGGTTTCCCACAAAGTTAATATAAGGAGACCTATTTTATAATTTTATTGGCAATTTAAAGCGACTTCAATCCCCACTTAGGAGAAGATTCATCGATGCAATGAATTTCTTCTTTTCTACCGAAGCAGCCACGCATGCAGAAGCCTGAATGCCGGGACACCGCGGCTGCTATGAGGATCACGAAGAAATTTTGTTGATCCGACTTTTGAACTGCCCAAGGTTAGTAGAACTGAGAAAAGCTTCCTCTTGTAGATTGTTCCACAATCTCGACACCCTTGGGACAAAGGAGCGGTCGTATCGTTCAGTTCTGAATGTACGAAGTTCGACTCGGTTAGGATGGGAGGTCGAAGTCAGGCGGGTCTGTCTGATGGGCAGAGCCAGTTTGTGTAGCGGTAGAAGAGAGCTAGATCGCCGGCGGCCCGCCGGCGAGAAAGGGCCCCGAGACTGTCTGTTAGACTAGTCATCGGTCAGTCGCACAGCCCTCATCTGGACAGCATCAAGCATCAATAATGTAGTCAGGGCGGCAGCACCCCACACGTCTGATCAATACTCCAAGATAGGTCTTATCTGGACCTTGTCTAGAGTGAGATCAAGTGGAGAAAAGTTCTTCTTAGCCCTAAACAAATAGCCTAGATTTTCCCAGCAGCCGCCGTTATTGTCGAGATGTGTTCGTGCCAAATCAAGTCCTCGGTGAAACACCGACTAGCCGAAATGAACGGCCCTTTGGCAGAACTGGGCCATCCATCCAAACCGGATGAGCGGTAGGACGCTTTTTGTTCGTCAAAATACAGTACCCTCTAGTGTTCTTTTATCAAGCTCACCGGCAGAGATAGGCTTGTTGCTCCGAATTCCTGCAGCTAGAGGTTGTTGATTTGTAAGAGGAACAGTGTCGGAGCCAAGATCAATCTCTGGGGAACAGCCGCGTTGACGCCGCGGGATGAAGAGGAGAACCCGTTAACCTCGACGGACATCCTGCGGTCAGAGAGAAAGTCAGCTACCCATCTGCAAAGCTCCTCTGGGAGGTCATAGGATCGAAGTTTGCATAAGAGGGCAGCGACAAGAGCTTATGCCTGAACGTTACTTCCCGCATAGTGAAGTTGAATCGACGGCACTTGGGCGTCGGGAGGACGTCCACGGTGGAGTTGCCAGCAAAGATCCTGGCAAGTATTTCCGCCTTAGCCTTCAGCCGGTTACAATTGTTCCATCTTGACACGTAAGTGGTGGAAGGTTACTCTCTGAGATAGTCTGAAGTGAACTGGAATTTAGTTGGTTATAATAGATGGAAATACCAATCTTTGAACTCTGAAGAGGAAAATACATACTCCTATAAGACCTATCCTTGCATTCGGTTCAAATACTTCATATATGGAGATAGCATAGTCTACACAGAATATGGAAGTTCATTGGATGGAATCAAATCTTACAAAATTGTATATCCGTTAAAATGCATGAAACTGAAAGGGGGGAGTTTTTTCATGTTTCCAATATTATGGCCGAATCCATACCAAATTCTAGTCAAATCGAATATGATATATCAGTTAAAAGAATCTCTTATTTGAATTCCACTATATACATCATAATTGTACATTACATACTTTGGTGGAGGAGTTTGTCATTATTGGCCGAGCCTGATCGGCCACTACATGATAATGACTGATGAAGATAAAAGATGCTATGCTACCTATTCCGACTGATTCGTGGAAACGTTTCTTGGTTGTGCTTTTACTCTGCTAGCATTAAAAGCCGTTTTCCAATACTTTTCCTATTATTGATATATTCAAGAAGAGTAGCTATACCTAATGATTATTTCTCACTCGCTTTAAAAATTTTGGAATATAAATCTTAGTTGTCAAACTGACAATCAAGTTAGTAGAATATTTTTTTATACTCCAATTACCACGAATGCCTAAGGCCTAAACACCCATGGGGTACCATGTAGCTATAGGGGGATACAAGGAAAGGGGGGACGCCGCATGGACTCTGGCGAGGGAACACGTGCGCATGCAACATGCACACATTCTGGCCCCGCCTACGAGATCCGCCGGGTGGTACCTCCGCGTTCGACAGTCAGAGATCACTTACGGATAATCACAACATCCATAGCCAAGAGAAAAGTCTCTCTTGGGACGGGATTCGAACACGCGCAGCCCGCGGCGACTGATCAGGAGACCGGAGAGTCTACCTTTGCGGCCACCGCTGCTGCCTGCAATTTTTATAGTAGCATATGTAGCATAATGTTAAATGATATTACTATTTACCTAGGTTCTTTTGTTGTCATTATTTACTTAGGGAGTGAAAGCTAGTTCTTAGAAGAGTGCTGCGGTCAATAGTCATTCTTGATATGCAGTATGCAGCCTTTGGATAGAAGTGAGTTTATTATACAATTAAATAAACGGTATAATCTGTATATGTTTATAAACCTGATATCCGATTGTAACGGCACAGTGACATGATATGAAGCTACAGCTAGCTATAAAAATCATCATACGTGCATTCAAATAAGGTGACAAGCACATTTAGACGTTTGCCCAAAGTTCTGTGATGTATCTGCCAGCATCCAAATCTTGGAAATGAATCATCCGATTGGATCCACGTAGGACGATGACAGTGCGTAACATAATTATTGTGGCTGGCAACATATCTAAAAACGTGACTTCCTCAGTGTTTCATTGTACCATACGATCGCACAGTTGCCGATTTTTTTATAAATCTGGGCATTCTGATTTTAATCGCAATTCGTTTCTTTAAAGAAATTGATGAAAAGTTATTTGCCGGAGTCCATCTAGCTTTCTCTATTGTGCCCTTGTGAATGTTTTGTTCTTAGGACTGGCGCAGAGTCTTGTGTCATTATCAGTTCATATTTGTTGTCCGTATAACGTATATGTTTATTGTTTAATATCTGTACATTCGTTCCTGTTTTTGCCTCGTTTACTTACTCAGTGTTGTCGTGCTTAAGAACGGTATTTTTTGAACATATGTACTTTTTTCATACTCTCTGCTTTGGGGTTATGTATAGAGGTAGCTGTCTACCTAAACTTCGCCCCAGTGCAGAGAACAAAGGCATCATTATTTTTATTATTATTTTTTTACCGTCTTCTAGATAGATTGTTTTGTATATTTATATAATGTCGTACGGGATTATTCTTGTTGTTTTTTTCTGTTTTTCATGTTCCTTGTGTCCAGTTTGTTTTTTTTTTCTTGTCCACATAATGGGATTAAGTGTAAGAGTAGCCCTGTAGCTAAACTTCACCTCTGATGTGATTCAATAAAGTTCTTTATTATTATCATTATTGTTAAATGGGTGAAAAACAAAAAAGTACCAGTACAAGAATCTTGGACCAACGGATAGACTTATGTACTTGTTACCCTATTTAAAAGTACCAAAAATTTTAAAGAGCTTGAATGAGAATTCATGAATGGAAAGCAGTTGTATGCAATTTTCGGAACAAGCAGATTCTTTCCACGGCGAAGGCTGACTGACATCATGGATATTTTGACTATTTAAATTTCTCCCAAACTTTTCATCCACGAAATTTGTCTTATTGCGATGTTTTTCGGCTACTATTTTCCTTACATTTAGAGCCATAAGACGCGATCGGAATAAGAACGGCTGTAAATAACCGTTCCGGACTGTCAGAAATTCATTGTTGGAAAAAACTTGTAGTGTCCTATCCCTTTTTCTTCTATTGTTCTTTCTCAGACCTCGATATTTATAATTTAATCTAACCACAAAATTGTGGAAACCGTCTAGGGACGGATGATATTAATAACTCAGTTTTTACACAAAGCTCTTGGACCAATACGAGGTTATCAATCCGCCGCGTGCGTAGCGCACGTTACATCCGCTTACGTGTCGAACCGTAATTGAGTTGTTCCAGTTGACATCCCACCACCGTTATCTTTCACATTAACACGTCTGTATATCTAGTTAACTCCTGTGAATGATGTTTTTTGCTTCCTTGTTGAACCGTTCATTTCAGGCAGTCAGCAATCCAGTAATCGCTTATCTATAACTAAAACCGTAATACGGCTAAACCAATCTCCCCAAAGATAGAAAGAAAAATCCACCACTATTAGGAGGAATTAACACGCTTTATCCACGAAAAGGATAACAGATTCACTGCTAGAGCTGAACAAGAAAAACGTTAAAGCTCTAACGGGATTGACTCGGGCCATTGCATGGAGGAAGAAATAGCAAAGCACATTCTGTGCAGACCCGCGGCAATGCACAGAGATACAATCTACTTAATAGCGCAAGGTTCGTGGTAGATGCTCTCTAAATGCAACTTCCTTTAGAGAGTATCTACTAGCAAGCAAAAATTATCGACTTCTTCAGCAAGGCTGAGCTGTCAGAATGAACATAAATAAATGTGGGCCACAAGAGGTCATAGAGTCAGTGGAGGATCGTGGTATGTGGTTTTGTCTCCCCAAACTATGAAAAAGGTGGTGAATACTTTCCAGCAGAGTTTGCCTTCCTCTGACAGAAGACAAAATTTAGAATGGATTCTCATAATCATCGACCAACAGTAGACAGAACAAGCACAACAATCAATAACACAGTTTCCTCAGGCAAGTTTATACTATAGCTGCCTAACTAGCTCTTTTGTAGAGTAAATCTATTGGATTAGATAGATCACCATAAGTTTAAGGAATTTATTGCATTAATTATAAGATTGAAAAATGTAAGAAACAATCATATTAAAAATATACTCGTAATCGAAGTTCGAAGTTGAAGATTTGTATTGTCTATTATTGTCTACAGATTCCCGCTAGCAATAATTATTGTTCATCCAATGGCAACAAACGACTAATGTTGTGCAGGAAGAGCGCATATTGCATACTAAAACAAACGAACAAAGCTAATTTAAAATCCATTATAAATCGAAATGCACATCGTCGGCTTCATTGAGTATGATTCATTATGGGTAACGATACATACTTGTCGTTAAAAAATGCACTGGCAGAGTACATACACGATCACGGATCCCAAGGTCGCGAAACACGGAAAAAATTCATCTCTCACGTATACGTAACACGTAACTGATGGTATGCGACATTCCATTCCATTTTGGTCGGCTATTAATTATTAATATAATTGAGCCACCGCAATTACCATCGTTGTTATTTCGAATAACCAGTTTGGCAGATAACGCCATTGAATGGGTTTCTATCTTGTTTTAATGGGTTGTAAATGAAAAGTAATCAAGAATCCAAAGAATGATTATAGCACACGTGGCTAGGTCTTATAAGCACAACTGGCCAAGCCGTCGCTGACTTTTGGTTAACTCCAAAGGTTAGAGCCAGTAATTTTCATTGAGCATCGCAAAATGCGCGAACTTTGGATGATCCTCTCACACGCTTCACTATTGTATGTATAGTGTACGATTACTTCGATTTTAGGTATTGGATTGCCCAGTTGTGTGCTGATGAAACGAAGAGGCTATGGTCGAACAACAAAACCACGATTATAATGAGAATATAAACTAGATTTCATTCGCCAGCTTAAGACGAGAATTAGGCCGGAATCACAGAACTATACAGGATACCGGTCAGTCATTTTTACATTTGCCTTCCTAAAGACCTGCCTAACGAGTTCTACATTATTCTTTTTGTCATCGAGTAACAAGTACTTCAAGTTTTTGTTTGGCACAATGGTCATGCCACGAAATTGAAGGTTGATCGGGTTTTTCTTCTAGTCGTAGCTTGTTAACTGTCATTCATTCCTGAAAATGCGTCGTTCACTATAATTTCCAACTCCTTGCCCGATTTAGCAGCGTATGCAATGCATATTGTTTCATGAAGAAACCTCATTTTTTCTTCCTATCTTCTTATTTTTTCAGTATCTTGATACTTGGTATAACAGCTGCGGATGTTTCATTTTAGGCCTTTTTATCTGTCGCCACTGCATGGATTTTCAAAAACTACAAAGCTTTTGCGTTCTTAGCATAGAAGTAATATTGTCTAAAAATTTATCGCATCCGAGCGGTACTTACCAAGTTATAAGCGGTTATAAGATTAGCGGACAGACCGATAGACATGAGACAGGCCGATGGAAATGAGTGACTTTCTGTGATGTTCATGTCATATAACATCCAAAAAGTAGAATATCTCATTTTGGAAAATTTTCGCGATCACAATAGTTCCCTGCCAAAAGGTGTGGGAAGTAAAACGGTTAATAACCATAAAATAATATAATAATAATACTATATAAATATACCGATAACGATAACGATAATTCGCGGGAAATGTTTTGTAGCAGGCAGAAGTTGACCTCACTGGCAGGTTGGAAATATTGGGTTCAAGAGCCAGAATGTAAAAATTAAATATAAAGTGCCTGTTAAGACGAAGGTATAAGGATGCTTGAACACTGAAAGCGTACCGGTAACAAAGTTCAAGCTATTACATTTCTAATTATTTATTACACGTTGCCACTATAGCTGCGTGGACCTCAAAGAAATAGGAAAAGCCGTAACTTCTGCTCGATTTTTTTGGACCCAGGTAATCCTCCGCACGTTTTTGATATGGACGATTGTTCGCAAACTGAAATGATCAAATTTTTATTACTAAGCTGATAGTATTGCGTAGGAATCTTCTTGACGCCATTCGTTTCGTGTTCATTGAATGAATACAATATGAACGTACTGATTTTACGTCGTAGCATTGATTGGCATAAAACGTGGGCGACCCAATTGCCTAGAATATTATGAAAAAACACCTCAGAATAATAAAAATGTATTACATTTTGTTGTTTAGCAGTCTCAACAAATAGGTACTGCGAAATTTCACTTGGTTATCGATATTGTTCAGTTTAATAATTGTTTTCACAATGGGTCAGTAGTGGCTATTTCTGGCGATATTTGTTGTAAGTACGGCTACTTTTCTAAATATAGATATATGAGTATAATCGGTGAGTGTAAGATCTAGCTAATATTATATAATATATCAATTACCGTCTAGTCAAAATTTCTTTAGTAGTTTGAAAATCTGATACAGCGAACCACATGTGCAGTGATAAGCCAGAGGCAGATAAACATATAAATAATATTGTATAAATCAAGCCTACATGAAAACAAGAACAAATAACGGTTGTCCGAAAATAACTTAATGGGAGTTGGAAAATTTAAATTCCCATAAAAAAGCTCCGGTTGTTCAAGCACGACCAGGGACTTTTTTTAAGTAACTTCGTCCTTTACGACCTTGACAAGGATGGAAAAGCTCCTAATGACATGTTATACCTAATCTAATAACACAACGCTTTTTGCATCGCGTTAGCCTGGATAATAGCAGGTAATGAAATTCTTGTAGTTTAAATTACATAAACAACAGTCGCTTCAAAATATCCGCGTTGGCCGAGCGTTGACGCGCTGTAAAGGCCTACATTCGCTGTTACTCCAACGGTTTGATTTAACCTCACTCCACGTTTCAGGTGCTTTTAGAACCATTCAGACCGACACCAAATGGAGCACCACGCGAGTGATTGAATATTCAGTCAGAGTCTACATTGCTCCTAACGATTCAACATGATTGAACAAAGTATTTATTGCCCAAGAGAACATATCTTCAGTCACAACACAACTCAAACAATAAAGAAAACGTACCAAAAATACAAGGTGTCTCCAAAAAGTTATGCAACATCTTTTGAGTTACAAGGTAGGTGAAAAAGTTTAAGGAGGTCCAGAGAATTGTGGACGAAACCCTTGCTCTAGAACGCCACAAAGAGTTCATGCCATCAATGCTACGTGTCCTGGAAAGATTGAGAAAAAGAGTGACAACGCTGCTGCAGCCAGTGTTACCACGTGTACCGATTTTTCAGTAGATCTACTGATTTTAATGCACTCTTCCAAAATCATTATCAAATTTTTATATAGTATATTTCTGATGTAGTTGAACAAATCACAAGAATAGAGCACTTTGCCACCTCCCTCTTCAATTTTTGATTTGGTGTAGCCCTGTTGTCTTAAAATCTTAATAGCAGCGTTCCATCATTTGATGCTACCCCCTCCCGATTTTTAATTTTCAAAACCGAGTGTAGCTCAACCAAGGTGCCCCCTCCTCAATTTTTAATCACCGGCAAGTTTTTACATTTTGCTGTAATATCTGCCGAAGTCTATCAAAAAATTTTGCACAAATCTACTGAAAACGGTTTGAGTATACTTGACGACACCAGCTGCAGGTTGGTTAACAGCTGGTGCTGCAGACTAATTGGACGGGGTGTGGGTTCGAATCCTGCCGGCGCCCATTTTTCCTTTTTCTCAAGTTATTGTTTACTGAAATACTCGCTGTTACGGATGCGCTCATCCGAAAAATCGTATACTGGTCCCAAAATTAAGACCGCTCTCAAAAGACGCCGTTTTGAGGGGAACAAGGTTATTCAAGCTGCTGTGACGACCGCCCAATGATTCCTGTTGTGACGTTCCCGACGGGCTACCAAAAAAGGGTAAGCTTTCGGAAAAAAATGCGTACAAGTTAGTGGTGCCCTGTCTGAACAATTTCAACAGTTTGTACAAATATCACCAATAATTTTTTAAATATATTGCATAACTTTTGGGAAACACCTTGTATAACTGAATAACCAAACGAAAAGAATTGCTAGAGTTTCCATTAAGTTAAACATAAAAACAAAAGAAAACATAAACGCATAAAATAAAAATGTACCCAAATAATTAAAAAAATGTTATCTATGTGTTTTGAAAATTATAGGTCTTTGAAAAAGATATAGAAATTTTACACCCCACGCCAGTCTGTCAACTCCTGTTACAACAAATATTACCTTTTTTTGGATTTTATTTTTACAATGTAATGATGAATAATGCATCTTCAAACTGGTGTCTCAACCTTACTGCCAACTTTTCTCGTTCAGGAAAAATTGCCACTTATTTCCCAACCAAGTAGTCCAAAGTAAAACTTTGCTCAACTTTAACTGGCTGTACTGGAAAAAAATGTACTACGAGAGTTTCGCAAGTAACCTTAAAAGTTGGCGCATTTAATAACGATTCCAAAATGTTATAACACTTAGAAGATTACTCGTTAACTTATGCACAATTTTTATTTGAAAAAAAACTGATGAAAATTTTTCAAAATTTCCTAATTAAACAGCGATTATGAAAACGCACAAGGACCCTTAAGGATAACTGTTTGCACAACAGTGGGCGTCAAAATGCTGCTGATGATGATTTGCCTATACAGCAAATGTTCAAACTGTTTTCCTTCAGCCGCAATACACGCTCGACATCTTAAAAAAGATCGGGTTATTAAACGAATGAATCCATGGTTATTAACAAACTCAGCTGCTTCCAATAGTCTTTGCTCAGCTACATTTTGAATCGGCTTGAAATACACTTGTTCTTTTACAGTTCCCCAGTAAAAAAATCTAAAGGATTCAAATCAGGTGTTCGGGCTGGCCACGGTATTGTACCAGACCGCCTTATCCATCTGCCTGGAAAGTTTTGATCGAGATACTCTCTCACTGAGAGTGCATAGTGCGCTGGGCAGCCCCCATGCTGAGACCACATGTCCCTGTAAATACTCAGTGGCACGTCCACCAATAAATTTTGTACATGATTTTTCAAAAAATCCAAATAAACTTCAGCAGTCAAAGTATCTGGGAACTCAAACGGACCGATTATTTTACCATTCAAAATTCCTGTCCAATGGTTTATCTTGAAGCGATATTGAGATTTATCTTCTCCCATCAAATGTGGGTTTGCTACGTGCCACTCGTGTAAGTTATGCAGGTTCATGTACCCATCTTTCTTAAATGAGGTCTCATCCGACCATAAAATTTTTTCAAAGAACTGTGGATCTTTCCTGTGTCTTTCTAACATTGTGCGACAAAAAGCAACTCGGAGCTCAAAATCCTGGGGCAGGAGAGGTTGAACATGCTGTATGTGGTATGGATGAAGCACATCACTTACTTGCTATTGCACACTTTGATACCGATAAGTACTCCTTCGTTTACTGTGCATCTTTACATGTTCGTGCTTGTTGATTTCGTACTGTTACTAATTTTGGATTCGTGAACTGGACTGTTGATCGCTTGTGATTTGGATTTGGACTATTTAATTGCTCTTCAAAACAACATTTGCTTTCCTTAGACTATCTTTGATAGTGTGATTGTGCAGTGCTGCTATGTTCGTGTACACCGTACAAGAATATGCTAACATGCACCTCATTTATGGGGAATGCAGATGCAACGCTAGTGCTGCAGCGAGACTTTACTGTGAGAGGTACCCGAATGCAGCTCGTCATCCAGATCATCGAGTGTTAACAAATGTGCACCGCTTACTGTTCTCAGAGGGCCAACTACCAAACCAATCACACGGTGAGGGAAGATCTTTCCTTCCTTACGAAGACGTGGTGCTAGGAGCTGTCGAAGAAGACCCGAGTACTTCAGTGCGTGCAATAGAACTAAAAACAGGTGTGCCCAAAAGTACAGCCCATAGAATCTTGCAA